TTTTTTGTTCATGAACTCTCTGCCTACCCCTATGTCTTCAATGTTTTTACCTACTTTCTCTTCCAATAGATTTAGTGTTTCTGGTTTACCAAACCCAATGTTTGTTTTTTAACACTAAATACGACCCCATTAAACCTTTAACCAAGTATATTTAAAAACACTCCAGGACTCTTCATTGCCTACTGAATACAGACCAAATTATTTAATTGCACAATGTAACAGATAAATCATTTTGCCAAAACATTTGAACCTGTGTTAATCTAAACCTCTAGGTCTAATTAGATTGTAGCATATATAGGCAAAGCTGAGACTGCTAAGCGACACTTCTGAGCAGCTGTCAGCCAAGTCCAGAGTGTCAGAATTCTATAAAACAAATGACCAATTAAAGCAACATTGTTGACTATTAGAGAACATTAAAAAATTATGAAATTTATTAAATATATGCATGATATAATAATTTTAAAGCTCTTTTCCGTTAAATACACATACTGAAGGGTGAATAATGAAGCTCCTTTAAAACACTTCAGAGATGGGAATAGTGAGGAAAGGAAAGGAAAATTTATACAAATGTTGATAATTGATAAATGTAGATGATTAGTATGAATGCCTTTTTTATCCATCTCTACTTCTAATATTTGAAATTTTCCATAATGAAAAATGGTAAAAAAAATTATATGTGATATTCAAAACCATTAACAATCCTACCTTGGAATCCTTTATAGACTATCTCTAGGCATTCCCCACCACAGTCTCTATATTTCCTTTATTTTCTGAGTGCAGACACTAGGTCTGAATTGAAGGAGTCATTCAGGTGCACATCACTCTTTATCCTGATATTGAAATCTCACTTCCACTATGAACTCACTACTCTATACAGATGTGCTGCAGCTTTGCCATGCTCAAAACAGGAGATTGGCAAGTTTATGAAAGCCAAAAAGTGGCCTAAAGTATCAGTTTGCATGGCAGACTTGGTAAGAATAAGTTCTCATTCTCTAATTTTCAGTTTGTAATTGTTGAAATGTAATTTGATAACTCTAACCAATGTAAAATGACTAATACTTTTATGTCATGAGTATCTTCTCATCAGAGCAGATTTCAAGAACCTGTGGAACATATCAATAAGTACAGTCAAAATATCATACCTATCGCAAATAAATATCTGTGTAATTAATTTTGAAGCTGAACTATGTACTTTGATGGTGACTAATAGTTCACTGAAATAATATTTTTTGGGTGACATATGTTTATTTCTCAATCATTTATTTAAGATTATTTCTAAATAAATATATTCACTTATAAGGGTAATTTTAAAAGTCTGAATTAACTTATGAAAAGAATTCATCAACTAGGCAAATTTTTGAATGAAATTAGCCTCTTCCAATTTTATTACCATCTAGCCAATAATTTTCAGATTTGTGAGCAGCCATTATAATAATAATATCTCTGATGAACACTTTGTATGTTAATATGGATATAAATTACAACTCCAGAAAAATGTCTTTTGTCATTTGCCATTTGTTAATATCCAGTTAATGTAAGGGAAAGACCCCATTGCCCATATGTATTTAAATGAGTTACTATTCAAATTCGTCACTCTTTCTAGAAGCAGTTAGAGAATAGACTAGGTTCGGACTTACCAGGAAATCTGCTGTGCAGGTTGGCATCGCAGTTGTAACCATTGAATTGAGCGGACCCCGGGAGCACTCTAAGTGCTAGCAGCAGCAGCAGCAGCAGCAGCCATACCCCATCCATTGCCAAACCTAGAAAAGATTACAATGTGGGCATCAGCAGCCTTCACTTGGACTTGCTGGACAGGCTGACCTCAACCCACCATTAAATGAGTGGTTGATATCTACGCTGTCAGAGCTCACTGAAGCCTGAGGATTACCAGAAATCATTCTCAAAAAGGAAGGCAGAGATTTTGGTTACAGTATTTCGGTACTATTTTTATTGTTCAACTTCTCTTTGTTGAATGTAAGAAAGCCAGACTCTTGTACTGGAATAGCTCAGGTGTAAATTATAAAGTTTACAAAAAAAAAAAAATTTTAAATAGAAAGAATTCAAAGACAAGTATCTAACAGATTTGAATAACACAACCAGAAAAACTAACCAATTTAGAGACAGATATACATTTATGATAGCAACATACATAAAGTGAAAGGGATTCAAACACTCGATATCCAATTCTGGTGGACTTTTCAGTACTCTTACTGACCAACTGGGGTCAGAAAAAAGTTCTTTCAACAAAGGAATTTTACTACTGCAACCTGTCAAAGTCAGTGGTTGGTGCACCATCTTTTCAGTAAACACACAGAGGGCTACAGAAGAAGAACAGGAGGGCAATGTGTGTGAACAACAGCACCATCTCCTGCAAGGGCACTGCTCCTCCGTGGGTGGTTAGGACTAACGCACAAGTCTGAAAGCACTAAACCCTTGATCTAAAGCAATGAGAGTTGTTCTTAAGACGTCAGTGTGGGTTGGCCAAATGAATGGAAACTGACTTTTAGACTTAAATATCAGTCTGATATTTAACAATATTTTTTCCTGAATGCCCTTTCCATGCCTGGTAAAGTTAAAACATTTTCCAGAAGCGTCTAGTTTCTCTTGGCATAGTTTGTGCACTGAAGTAAAGTCTTTCAGGTTGGTGGTTTTGGTTTATGCATAAAAAGCAAAAAGAAAATAAAGTTGTAAAGGTTTACTCCGATAATTTAGTGCCTTTTAAAAGCTTGGGCTTTGGGATAAAAGATGTCTCTTAGGAGATTAATCAAGTCAGTAGCAGAAGGAAGGAAATATATCTTAATTTCTGAATCACCTTTGAAAATGACAAGTTTCTGGTGGACAAAGTCTCTTCAGTGAGGATGTGGGAAAGGACGGGATAAGTTTGCTCTCAAAAGTAGATTGAAAACAACCCAGCAGGATCTCTCTTCCTTTAGCATTATCATGTACTGCTGGTCACAACACACTGACTTTGGAGAGAACTGGCTCTGTGTCCAGTTAGCTATGACCTGGGACCACCCAAAACATCTCCCACAGGCGGCTGGTGCTGAGGACCAGCTTGGTGCTGTGCACAGTGCCCTGAGATTGAGATTAATAAATTGACATAAAAGTAAACTGAATCACGAGTCTGCCCCAGGCCTAAGTGACTTGTGGCAAGCCCGCAGCCAGTGTGGGGATGAAACTAATCCCCAGGCCAAAGGCTAGGACTGAAGCCAGAAGCAGTCTGTGAAGTTCTGGCACCTCGAAGCAATAGAAACTTGAGGACTCTGACTCCCCAAATTCCTTCTAGCTCAGGAGTCTCAGTTAGCAGACAATCAAGTTGCTAGTTAGCCGTATTTATCCCCACGTGCTTTTCCAAAGTTGCTTTGTTCTTTGAATCCTTGAGCCCCTCCTGCCTCTGCACTTCATCCCCATCTCTTCCTGCAGCCACCAGCACCCCTCGATCCGCTGTGCACCTGATAAAGGCCAGGGATATCGAGCCTCGGTGTCTTTGTCCTTTTTTAGGCTCTGACTGTCTTGGCTCCCCTTGTAACTGAAGTGTATCTCTTGTCTGTGTTTTGGTCCTTGGTCTTATCACTGAGCAGATCAGTGGCCTTAGCTCAGCGTCCCCAGTAGGCTGAGCCATGCCAAGGTCATATCTATACTGTCACTGTTTATCTCTCCAAGACACCTAAATAGGGCCAGAGGTACAGCTCCGTGACACAGAGCCTGCTTGGCAAGCACAAGGTCGTGAGTTCAATTTCCAGTACAAAAAAAAAAGAAAAAGACAAATTTAAATAGAACAAGGTAGCCATGCTCCTTTGGAGTCTCTGGAAGACTGCAAGGAAAGGGAGCTACTTGATTTTGAGCAATACGCTGCCCAACACACACACACACACACACACACACACACACACACGCACACACACACACACCCTCCAGGTCATGCCCCTGTCTTCTCATCATGGGTCCCGTTAGCCTCCAGGAGGTGCTGCAGATCCACACTGCTGTCTCCAACAAAGAGGTTTGTCCCACGGATTTGGAGTTAGGGATTTAGTTTATTATACTGAAACACCTCCTAGATTTTATATTTGCCTGTGAGAGAAAAAGATTTACTGAATAGACACTGCAAAGAGGATGTGCCGGATCATCTCCTGAGAATCTCTTCTTCATATTCTCCATGGTGATTGGGTCACGTTGGCACTATTGCTCCATGTGAAGAGAGAAAAGATGATTCTCAGGAAGTTTTAGTGGCATGGAAAAGAAATGAGAAAGACAGAATCCAATCCCAAATCATTCTGATAATAAATTTGGGTGCACCACCTACCTAAAACCACCTGTCATTAAATAAACACAGCGGCTTTTTGGTGGCCGTTCATCATTATCAGCTGTCTTCTTTGGCTTTTCAGATTTTGTATGATTGTGTCATTGACACAATTTTCAAAAGAGGTATATGTCATAACATGGGCATTATTAGGGAGCAAATAATTTTATCAGTGGGAGGAAGTCCTCATTTCTCATTGGGGGAATAGTAAAATCTATTATTATAGATAAAATTAGACATGTCTGTGTTGCCAAAAATGGGTGAAAAACTTATGATGAATGAAACAGCATACTGAGAGCAGTTAGAGAGATTTAAGCTTCTAACTTTTAGTCAGATCCGCACGGCATGCACCTTTCACACCCTGCACGAAAGCTACATCACTGTCATACACAGTGAAACTTGTAAATATTTTTTAGACAAAGGAGACCTAGGAATAGAAGATAATGAGCGCTAACAGAAAATACACTAATTTTGAGATCGGCAAATAAGGATTCAAATTTTCCTTCATTCTTTAGATTTGTCATTTGAAAATCAAGACAATCATGCTGGATTTTACAAACCATATGTTCAGAAAGAACTCAGCTCAGTCTGAGCATACTGAAGGGATTGAATCTTACCTAGGTCTTCACAACTCTGTGTGTGTGTGTGTGTGTGTGTGTGAGAGAGAGAGAGAGAGAGAGAGAGAGAGAGAGAGAGAGAGAGAGGAGAGAGAGAGAGAGAGAAATACAATTAATTGCTTGGAAATTGGGAACTATGTTAAGACTCTACACTCATCAAAGCCTAATATCCTGACTGCCCAGGACAGGAGCAATTCCAGACACATGAATCCCGGTACTAATCTGGCTAAAGAAGCTTAATGATAGACCAATTTCCCTGGTGTACTCTGAGATAGTGTGAGTTAGCTGATGTCAAACTCTGGCCTCAGACATTTTTGCTAGACACTCTCAGCAGAAGCATTTTCTGTCTTCTATGTCATATCTAACTGCAACAGCCAACACCCCAACCAACTTAGGTGCTAACAATACCTAACACAGCCGGTACAATAAAACACTGTAATATCCTTACAGAGTAACTACCTTGAATATATGTGTACCTGAGGGTTTTGTGTTTTTTGCCTAGTACCATCATAAATTTTTGATGAGGATGGGAAGGAAGAAGAAGATTATATATAAATTGTTGATTTCAAAAAAATTCAGAAGTGCTGATTTAAGATATCCACATCTCCTAAACTGGCACCAACAGGCTCTGTACTACAACAAAAAAATCATAGAATGAGACATTTTGTTTCAAATGTGTCCATATTTCTCATATTAAAATTCCTTTTAAAAATGATAACTTCTTTCAATATTTGAATCTATAATTTATTTGCTTAGGAGTGAATTTGAAGTCAGTAAAATATACTTTTACTCTAAATTCTCATTCAATTTACATAAATTTATATAATTCTCTCATGCTCTCTAGATGCTATTATAAAATAATTTTACCTTAATTTTATTGGGATCCATTATGTATTAGGAACAGTGCTGTGCTTATTATTGAACTACTAACATGCATCTAGTTTTTACCCAAATTACAAATGTGAAAGCTGAAACAAGTTTTCAGTTGTCTTGCTGGGGTTACAGACCTAGAAAATGGAAGAGCAAAATTCAAAGCTGAACTTAACCTTAGAATTATTTCATTTCTATGTTTGATGTCATTGGAGTTTGTTAAAGAAATAAAATTAATGTCCTGCTAATTTTCAGAAAATAAATAATATTAATAATGTAAACCTTAAATGTACTTCTAATGCAATGATTCAGATAAGTGAAGCAAAATATTTTTAAAATCTACATAACTGTCATGACTCTTTCAGCCAAAGCAATGGGTACATTCCAACTATTACTCTTTCACAAGTTGATTTAATGATATAGCACAAGTGATTTATAAGGGCCAGCTGTGGACTAGAATGTTTTAAACATGGCACTTGTAAAGGACAGGTAGCACATTCTCCTGTTCTAGAGAAAGAAAATCAAGGCCCTGAAAATGTTAAGTAACTTGTCCAAGAATAAATAGCCAGGGGCTGGGGGTTTAGCTCAGCGGCACAGCGCCTGCCTGGCAAGCGCAAGGTTGTGCGTTCGATACCCAGTACCGAGAAAAAAAAAAAAAAAGAATAAATAGCTAATGGGGGAAGCAAGATCCAGGCCACTGTCCAACAGCTCTAGAAACTACACCCTGGACCGGTTTGTGAAGCTGATTTCTAGAAAATGGCTACTATAAAACTGGACAAGTAGGAATTCGGCATTGCTGGGTAGATTTGATCAGTGTTGATTTATTGTTGCATTTATTTATCAAGTAATTATTAAATGCTCACACGAACCTGGTACTGTCCAAAGAGGCTGAGGTACAACAATTTAAAAAGTTATCAGATAAAACTCACATCCTAATAAAATAAGTAAGAAAGAACAAAAATTTA